TCCAGGGCGCCATGACCAAGGTTCTCACCAAGCTGGCATTCTGGAACCCCGACCTTGACTTTGACGCCGCGCTGGACAGCTTGTCGGCGATGTAGACCTCTCGGGAGTCAAGGAGCGCATCGAGCCCATCATCAGCCGCGTCCGCGGACTCCAGAGGTTGGAGGGCCAGCGCCGGGACTAGGCGCCCCATTTCTTGTTGCCGTTGTAGGTTCATGACCAAGACAATTCACATCTTTAGTTAGAACCGCAGCAACAATTGGTGTAATATAACTCTGCAGTACTTTTAGTATGTTGCATGTTATTTCCCTGTTAACCTTTCTCTGTACGTCCACCCTATGCTTACTCGATAGGCTTGCCGGCGCATAAAACCAAACCGCTGCGCTTCGAAGGACGGATACTTTAGCGGCCGGTAGGGCGTGCTTGCCGTCGTGCAAACCACCTTGTCGTTCTCAGCGTGGCCGCTCGAACTGCCGAGTGGACTCGAGCCAGAGCGAGAGCGTTGCCGATAGGGGAAGGCCACCCTGCCGCTCTCGACGCAGCCGCTCGATCTATTGAGCGGACTCGAAACAGACCAAGAGCGTTGCCGATAACGGAAGGGCCCCACTGCGTGCAGGTTTCCCATACAGAGGAAAGATCTTCGAGGAAGATAACCTTATATAAGGAGGAATTATTCGAAGTTTTTGCACGACTTAGCTTATTTTTCATCGTCGCGCGAACGCTCACCGCATCCGCCGACGGGGCTGCTCACCTAGTCGCCTTCTTCCTCGAAAGCCATGGCGATGAAGAGTTGCGCTACTAGCTGCTAAACCAGATGCTCACTACTGCGCCCCCTACCTGGCGCGCCAAAGATGTCGGTGGGAAACGACACCTATGGGATCACAAGAATCCCTACTACGGTTACGGGGCGCTGGGTGGTGAGGAGAGCAGGATCAGCAGTCAGTACGAACACGCGGGTCGTTTACCCAGGTTCAGGCCACAGAGGTGCGTAATACCCTAGTCCTGCTTGGATGTGTGTATTTGTGTTCTTGAGGTTCTTGAACTAGCTACAATGGGTGTAACTTGTCCAAAAGTCCGAATCCCTCTCCTGGATGCCTCGGACCTCCTTTTATAGGCAAGGGGATCGCCACAGTGGCACACAGGAGGTGGCATCGGGGTACTGTGATTAAGCTTATCCCTCGCCATTACGGGGCAAGGTGCATTTAATGCGCCCCTGACGTGTCCCCTCCACTTTACCGCCGCTTCGCCCTGTCTCGACACGCGCCTGGGCCAGCGAGGCGGTCAGCGCCATGTAGGCTGGCAGGTTACTGAGGTGGTGCGGTGGTAGGGCCTTCACGAAGATTTGCATGTCACCACGTAGGCATGCGCTGAGTTGGTTGAGAAGCCTTGTGCCGACACGCAGGTGCCTGCCCAGCTGGTGGGCTGGCAGCTGCATGGGAGCAGTGGTGGAAACCTGGCGGGCGTGGGCCTGGCCGTGGCCTCGCAGACGTCCTCGGCAAGGGACTTGCCGGGGCCCCGGCAAGGGTCTTGTTGCGGTCGTCCCCGGCAAGAATCTTGCCGGGGGTCTTGTGGGTTTCCTCGGCGAGGATCTCGCCGAGGTCCGTCGTCTTCTACTCTTCTGATTGGGAGTATTATCCTTCTCTTCACAAAGATCTCCATGCCATCATGGTGGCGCCTCCCGAGCATTGGTCCCAACCAAGGTTGGAAAAAGCGGTAGGCATAAGCGAGGTGGTTGGCCTTCGCCTAGTGCCTAAGCGATGCTTAAGCGCCCTAGACGCAGCCTAGGAGATTATATAAATTTTACTATTATGGTGTATATGTGGTTATTATATGTGTATTTTATTAATTTAGGGCATATAAGTATGTTAACGACCAGCTACTACGATTGGAATATGGCCCTTTTGGCATATCAGTGCAATATGGCATGATTTCTCGCTTGGATAGACAATTTCTTACTTGCTTTGCCTAGACTTCTGCTTATGCCATAGGCGAGGCATTGGGACATTGCCTACCGCCTAGGCGTGCCTAAGCGTCTCCTAGGCACTGCTTTTTCCAACAGAGGTCCCAACACGGTTGGTGGCGCCGGGGGAACCAGGGCTCAAGGGTGGCGTGCCCTGCTGGCGTCAGGTAAGCTGCCCCGGCAAGGGCCTTGCCGGGGCCGTGGGGGCTGCCCCGACAAGGACCTTGCCGGGGAAACCACTTCGCCTTCTTGCTCTTTATGCTTCTGTCTTGGTGTTGCTTTGATTCTGTGTTTCCGCCCTGCCTAAACGTGGTCGTGGGCGCGGTTCTGACTGCCCGTGCACAAATAAGGGTACAAAGGAGCGCCCCTACTTTAGTACACCGATAATAGTTCACGTTGTTGTTTCTGTGATCATGATGAAACAATCAACATTTATTCCTTGAATGCCCACTCGCCAAATTGCTTTGGAGAACGATTCATATAGCCTTCAACATTAATCCTCCAGTTGACATTGAGTCGTTGTTTGGAACGTGGTTAGCTGGGGTTGGGCATACTACTGCGGGTCGTATTCGGATTGGAATATGTGCGCTTTTATGGGCTATATGGAACTGTAGGAATGATTTGATATTTAACAGACAACACACTTTAACTTTCTTGCAGGTCATCTTCAGAGCTACCGCGTGGATCCGTACGTGGTCATTACTCACTCCTATGGACTCCAGGGAGCCTTTGGTTACTGGGTGCAATCAATGGAAGATGGTAGCACGGGTTATATTCAACCGGTTCGGATGGCGGTCGTATAGCAGGATAGGAGTCTAAGGGAGCTTATCCTTCATATTGTCGTACCGGTTGTGATTGTCAGCATATTTTTTTTTTCTTTTTTCGCTCCACTTCCGAGCTGTAATACTTTTATGATTTTGTGATACTTCGTGGATCTTTTAATAAGATGGCTACATGCATCATTATGTTGCAGAGGCCGGGGTACGCCTCCATTTCTAAAAAAAAGCATTGCCATGGAACAAATCATTACTCAACCTATCATTATATTATTTCCTCGATGCCATGGAACAAATCACTACTCAAACAAAGACATAAATATGCGATAAATCATGGGGAAATAATTCATGGGACAACACATCAATATTTAACAATGGATTAGAAAAGTTTATGGAGAAGCCCTTGTAATAAGAATGAAGATGATGGTGGATACGTTGGTGAAGTCATTGGAAATGATGACGGTTCCTCCGGCGGCGTTCCGGCGCCACCGGAAGGGAGGGGGAGAGAGTCCCCCTCCTCCTTCTTCCTTGGCCTTCTCCCTAAGTGGGAGAAGGGGTGTGTTATGGTATTCCAATCCAGGCACTCATGGAGGGTAGGATCCTCGTGCGCGACTTCCAGCATACAATGGCGACCCCCCTTCCCCTCGGCGATGAGGAAGGCCTCCTCCTCCGCTTGCTCCTCATCCATCACTTGTTCCTCCTCCAAGAGCGGCACCCAGTCCGATCGGAAGGGAAGTGGCATGGCAACTAAGGAGGTAGAAAGTGGCTATAGGTAGCGGTGTTGAAAGTGGGGGTTGTGAGCTATTCAACCATGGCGACGACCTTTTCATAGCCACCGGCGGCGAGGCGTTACGGGCACGGAGAAAATGTGGCAGGAGAGGCCGTGGGCAGTTGGCACGCGACGACTGCCATTAATTGTGGCATTTCCTGCCGACATGGCAGTCCAGCCGTCCGCGCCTTTGGGAGAGAGTGGAGATGAGCCGTGCGGGAGGCTGAGGAGGGAGATGATACTTTATGCCTTGCTGTTGGTGGATGAAACGCGCTTCAAACTAACGCTCTCAACCTCCAAATATGAAGACTCGTGGGCTCAAAATGAGGGCCCTTCATAAATTACAGCGATCAAGGGCAAGATGACAACTCTACCGAGCGCCATTTTAGCTCAAAATTGATACTTTGCGATTACTGTGGCCATTGGGTCGCTAAAGTTGTTCTAAGGTGATATATACTCTCGTAGTCTCGTGGTACAGCTCTGAACTTATGTATACCTGGTAGTATGACAGCATGGTTGGTGCACAGGGCATGGCAACTCGGTAGTTCCTATATAAACCGCAGCAATGAATACTAGCTGCCGTACGTAACGGTGGCACAGCGAATGATCGTGCATCGAAGACCTTCTCATGGCACAGACGGGGTGTACCAGTACCAGCACTGTTCTGTTTGATCAGCCGCAGTAACAGGCGATGTGAAGTACGTACTACAAGGAGCGATACACGGCAGCAAACAACACCAGCAGGAGTACCGCGATTGTACACACGGATCTGTCGCTGGCTGTCTGCACATTGATTGTTCGATCGGCACACCGCCCGCGAATTTATCATCATACAGCAGGCAGGCAGGGCATCATGCCCCATGATTTGCTCTACGATCTTCCTCCTTTAACTCGCGTACGTATCATGCGTGCTCGTTGTGGTTGCCGGGACGTGCTGTCCGCCAGGATCCTCGTGTACGTTGCCACTAGTAGAGTACTGCTCCCAAGTAGTATGATGATGATGATGATGGCCGTCGTGTTGGTAAATCGGCCTCGTGCTCGTAGCGGGTGGGCTACGGACGTGCGAATCCCATCCCGGGATCCTGACGCCGGTTGATGCGCGCTACAAATTCGGTAGCGGGATCCGCGTGACACTTGTTGCGGGCCACGCGATGCACATCTGTTTATGTAACAGCAATAGAATGCAGCTACTCTATCAAAATTTCTTGCCGAATGCTTGGTTTTCTTACTGAATCCTCTGACATTATGAACACCGTAAAAAAAATTTTGAAACAAGAATGAACACCGTAATCCTGTTGGTGTGCAGGAAATGTTATATCTCTTCTCCGCTTCCCATCTGGAGTAGTTGTGCGTTTGACAACATCTGAAGCCAAGCGACGGGTTTGCATTGCACCCGCACACTGGCCTCGCGGCAAGGCAAGACTGGCATTGGCAAAAGAAGAAGGGGGAGCAAACACACCACACGGGCTGCTGACCAACTAGTCTCTGTCCGACTCGCTCACCCAACTAGCAGCAAAACCATCCCAAGAAACATGAACCAGAAACTGTGCTGTAAAAAAAACGAACCAGAAACTGTAATAAAAAACATCAATTCACTGGTTGCTTGCTGAAGCAAAATCTTTGATTGAATCAAATGCGAGAGAATACATGACACCAGCACGGACGCAACGGCCAGCGGCGGCCAACTAGGAGGCCGATCAAACCCAGACCCACATTTATGGTACCCACAGCGATCGTCGCGCCAACAACGGCCGTCGACACGGCGGCTTCCGCCGTCGCTCCCGCCGGTCACGAGGACGCCGTCACGGCTTACGGCGGGCCCACCGGCGCCGCCATTTCCCGCGTCAGCGACTGTGGCAGCGTCGGATGGCGATGGTACCAGTGGTAGTACTACTACATCGGTTGACATCTCGAGACTGGGCGGTGGGGCCCAAGTGTCGGACGCCCAGGTGGGGCCTTCCTCCAGCTCCCTCACCCAGCTTGGGCGCGGCCTGTCTGATGCCAATTCGGCAATCCTTTCCTTGGCGCTCGCCATGATCACCTCGTCCTCGATGTCGGCCTCCAAATGGCAATCGGAGGACGCATCGGAGTCCGAGTCCGACGCCGCCCAGTCAAGAACCGCTCGCGGGGACGGCGACGGCTCGCCGGCGTCGTGGGTGTCCGCGGAGAGGAATGGGTGGCGCAGGAGCTGCTCGCAGCTCCACCGCTCGCCAGCGTCGCGGCGGAGGCACTTGTCGAGGAAGTCGCTGCAGGAGTCGGAGAGGCACGCGGGGAGCTCTGGTCGCTTCCCGCCGTAGCCGATGTGGAGCAGCAGCTCGCCGACCTCGAGGGCGCCGCCGATTTCCGACCACGGCCGCGTCCCGGTTAGCAGCTCCACCGCCGTGCACCCTAGTGACCAGACGTCGGACGCCGGCGTCGACGAGCCACCGCGGGCCACCTCCGGCGCCATCCAGGCCGGCGTGCCACGGGGCCCGCGCGGCGCCGGCTCCGACACAAGCCTCGCCGCGCCGAAATCGGCGAGCTTCGAGCCGTCGTACCCGGCACCGTCGCCGCCGACGAGCACGTTCCTCCCCTTCACGTCCCCGTGCACGACCCCGGCGACGTCGTGAAGGTAGTGCAGGGCGGCGGCCACCCGGCGCAGGACGCACCGCGCCGCGCGCTCGTCAAGGCCGGCCGCGCCCCTCGCCACCGCCGCCTCCGCCGCGCTCCCGCCCGAGACGAGCTCCATGTGCAGGTTCCTGGACGCGGTCGTGGCGTCATCGCCGAGGTACGCCACGACGTACGGCGAGCACAGATGCCTCAGGATCCTTATCTCGCTCTCCAGGCACGCCATCGCCGCGGCCGGCGCGCCGCCCTTGGCGTCGACCGACTTGACCGCGAAGGCGCGGCCGGTGGCCCTGTGGACGGCCAAGTGCACGGTGCCGAACGCGCCCTTCCCGATGCATTTCCCGCGCGTCCACTCCATCTTCATGGACGACTCCCGTCCAGTGGGTAGTGAAACAGAGTAGAGGAGCTCAGAGAGAAACAGAGTGTATGCGCAGGTGAGGAGTGAATAAAGGGAGAGGAGCAGAAGCAGAAGCAGATGGTGTGAGGAGTTGCAAGAAGAGGGCAAGCGTGACGGTGGCGTATATATAGGTGTGGGGTTTCAGGCGCTGCATCGGGTTGGTTTTTTTTGGGGTGCGGGTTTACTTTTGGCAGCGATTTGCTCCCGATTCGCATGTTGCGCGGATGGGATATTAAATTGCCCGAATATTTCTTTCCGGGTTCCATATAATATCACGGAATAAATCAAGGGAATCAACTAGTAGCAGTAGGCCTCTCTCCTCTTGTTGTTGTTGGCTTTGCGTGGGAGAGCGAGTGGTGTGCAACTTGTGCTGTTATCGTCTTCGGGGCTGTGCCGCTCCGTTGAGGCCACATGGGCGATCGTCCATTTGGGTCGCTTTGATGGATCACGGTTCCGTTTCGAGATATGTATGGATGGATGGGTGTCATCAACGCACGCACCTTTAATTTAAACATCGCGAATCAGGAATAGTTGAGGGTGCACTGCATTGCCATATGTTTCCTCTCTTTTTTTCGTCCTGTTAAGTAAGTTATCATGGCTTGAAGCAAACAATTGTGACGCCGGTAAGTGGCACAAAAGCAAAGCTTTTGATCTAGTAAAAAACAAAATCTTGGTATTTCCTTGAGCACTGGTACAGTACATCTATCTATACACATCACTCTATATGTTGTATTGGACCCAGGTGTCCACAGGTAACCAGGCTCGCATCCAAGAAACCAATCGGGGTGTGGCCCCCAAAATATTTCTCGTGATATCTGACGTGCCCCCAAATAGTGGCGAGAGGATGGATGGATAAAGCAGCACAAAAACAGAGCACGCCACACTCCCGCTACCCTACTCATCTGGAGCTCGATCTCCGCTGCTGACATGGCCACCGGAGCACACAAGGCTGTGGTGACATGGAAGGACACGAGTGGCCCGGGTGGTTCCGGCCTGGCGCCAAGGAGGGGAGGGGAGGGATGGATGGCTACGCGGAGGAAAGAAAGAAAACACGCAGAGCGCACCGGCGAAAAGCTGTGGCCGGGGGCTGGGATACGACTCGTGTGGGATCCGTGGCTCCTGGGCATCGCGTCGCGTCGCGGCATCTAACCGGCGGGTCGCCGTCCATTCCATTGGCGCCGCGGCGGACGTGCGCGCGGCCGAGCCACACAGCCGCCCAAAGCGAGGCCCGCGCCCACTCATCTACTAGCAGCATGCTAGCACCGATGCGATATCGAAGAGGCAGCAGGTTGACGTTTACTGTAGATGCCATGGGCTATTTCTGGTTTGCGTCGCATAATTCGACAAGTAATACTAATAATCGTGGTTTGCGTACGACTAGCTGGCAATCATTTGGAGCCCGGCATCTCGTAACCCAGAGATTCCAGACCAATGATGTGGAGTGATTAGTAGCAATGATACCAAGGCAATATCCATCCTCTGTATGCACAACTACTGATGCGCCCCATTAGGGAAGCAAACACCGCAAGGTTATAGGAGTAGAGTATACTAGGAAATCAACACCCCTGCTTCGATCAAGCTTATCGTGGAGGGGTGCACATTGGCACGACGCCGGCCGGCCAGGGCATGTGCGGATTATGAGGCCGGAGTCCGTGCATATCTCTTCCGGCTGTGCGAACGAGATAATAGCTTAGTTATTAAGGCCGGGGCACATATATGATATCCAACCTATCCATGGACCCAGACGCAGGCTTGTTTGGTTCCAATAAGTCACCTGACTTATAAATCAGGTGACTTAAAACCAGTGACTTATAAGTCACGCCTGTTTGGTTGTCATCTGACTTATAAGTCACCTGATACACCTTCCCACACCAATTCATATCATGTATGTGATGGGACCCGCGCAAAAAGAGGGGTGATTTATAAGTTTAAATTTTTTTTTGAACGTCAGCATTTATTGATTAAGCAAACAAGTTACAAAGAGTCTCCCGGATACAATCCAGAGCAGAATGAAAAATACATAGATTCGAAGAGTTCAAACTAGATCTAGCTAATACATGAGCTAAAACATTGCGATGCCGACGAACATGCTTGAAAGTCACAGACGAAAGAGCTCCAGTTGTCAACTTAATATCAGCAACAATTGATCCCACAAAGGAGCGGTCACGGGAAGAAGAATTCAGCCTTTGCACTACAGAAAGGTAGTCCGAGTGAAAGATCACATCAGTGTAGTTCTCATCTCGAACCAGCCTCGCCGCCCGTCGAAGAGCCCAAGCCTCCGCCACTTCAGGATCAGTAACACCATTCAGAGGTTCAGAAGCAGCAGCTATGCATTGACCGGAGTGGTCCAGAACCACCACACCAGCGCAAGATTTACCCAGCTCCCGTGAAACAGCAGCGTCCGATGAAACCAACAGCGTACCTGGCGGCGGCGGAGACCACATAGAGCTGGAAGCAGGGGTCTCACGCCTAGTTGCAGAGGTAGGCTTGTACATGTGTTGGAAGATCATTTCCAAGTAAGCACGAGCCCTTGCAGCCATGATTTGGGGATGAGGAGCTTCAGGTTCATTCCTAGCAGAGTTGCGTGCCTCCCATATATGCCAAAAGATGACATTCATTATAGTATCATCACGCTCGGATGCGCGCGAGAGAAAATCAAACAACCACTGCTTCGGCGACGCAAAGGAAGATCGAGACAGCTTGATCCCCATGGACCCTTTGAGAACATCCCAAACTGCTCGAGCGTGTGCACAGAACAGCAGTGCATGTTCAACACTCTCCTGCCGGCCGCAGAAACAACAGTCGGTCCGCGTCGGAACCTGGCGTCGAAGCATTTGCTCACCCGAAGGCAAGTAGTTGTGAGCAAGTCGCCACAGCACGATCTTCATTTTGTTTGGAGCCTTGACTTTCCACAACTCCTTCCATAATCTCTCCTCTGAATGCCACTCGGAGTGTTGGCCCTTACCATTGCAGCTGCGGGCTGTCAGGAAGCCAGACGTCCTCGCCATGTTGTAGGCAGACTTAACAGAGTACTCGCCCAGTTTGGTAAATGGCCAGCGAGCAAAATCAGAGCCGCCAAAGCTGCAGATTGGAACTTGGAGGATTTTGTTGGCCACATCATCCGAGAAGAAGGCCCTCACTGACTCCTCATTCCAAGTCCCGCTTTCCTCATCAAGCAAACAGTGGACTTTGGCTGAAGCAGGTATGGGGTAAAGAGGCCGGAGAAGTGCAGGAGGGATGGAGGGGATCCAATGGTCAGTCAAAATGTGAGTACTCCTTCCATCCCCAATACCCCACTGAATCCCCATCTTCAGAAGATCACGACCATGCAGAATCGCACGCCATGTCGCTGAGGCTGTACGAGGAGCCGAAGCGTTCCAGAAATCACCATTTGGAAAATACCTCCCCTTCAAAACCCGCGCACAAAGCGAAAGAGGCGCAGTAAGAAGTCTCCACCCTTGCTTCCCGAGCATCGCCTGATTGAACAACCCCTAGTCACGGAAGCCCATGCCCCCAAGGGACTTAGGACGAGAGCCAGTCCCATGATCGCCAGTGAATTTTCTTTTTCCCATCTTCTCGTCCCCACCATTGATCGGCCACAATCTGGCGGAACTTTTCACACGTAGCTACTGGAAGCCGAAAACAACTGGCGATGAAGGTCGGAATAGCTTGTGTTTTTGACTTTAGCAAAGTTTCAGTTGCTGCTCTAGACATAGGCCGATCAGACCAGCCGCGAATGTTTTGCCAAGCTCTGTCAGGTAGGAACTTGAAAGTGCACGTCGGCGATCTCCCAACCTCGGTGGGCATACCAAGGTAGGAATCCTGAATAGCCTCGTTGTTGATGCCCAACTGCGATTTAACTCTGTTCTTAACATTAACCGGGCAGTGCCTCCCAAAGAAAACCGATGATTTCTCCTTGTTGATCAATTGGCCCGACCCCAGCGCAGTATAAACTGAGGACTGCCTCCAATGAATCCACACTCTGAGAATCGCTCTTAGCAAAGAAGATGCTATCGTCTGCAAATAGGAGGTGTGAGATAGGTGGGCCTTGACGACCATTACGAATCCCATGTAGCGCACCACAACTCTCCCTTTGAAAAAGCAGACATGACAATCCTTCTATGCATAAGAGGAATAGGTATGGACTAATTGGATCCCCTTGTCGAATACCTCGGGATGGAACCACAGGATCAGTGAGCTCCCCATTTACCCTGACCGCGTATCGAACATTGGTCACACATCTCATCACTGCCTCAATCCAAGCAGGAGCAAAACCCAACTTGCTTAAACATCGGTGGAGGTAGCTCCATTCAACCCGATCGTAAGCCTTCATCGTGTCTACCTTCAACGCAAAGAACGGCTTCTTCACCCTCTGTTGTCGGATGGTATGCAAGCACTCATATGCAATCAAGGTGTTGTCAGTAATCAATCTCCCAGGAACGAAAGCACTCTGACAATCTGAAACCACCACGGGCAGGATCCCTTTCAGACGATTTGCCAAAACCTTGGAGGCGATCTTATAGAGCACGTTGCACAGGCTAATAGGACGGAAATTCTTCAGGTGCTTCGGTTGTGTCGTCTTCGGAATCAGCACAATAACCGAATCACAGAAGCCTTCAGGAATGGGCCGCCCTTCCAAAAAAGCCACGAACAACCTGACAAATATCCTCACCAAGGAAATTCCAGTGGGTTTGGTAAAAGAGAGCAGGAAAACCATCAGGGCCCGGGGCCTTAGTGGGCCCAATTTGGAACAAAGCAGCACGGATTTCATCATTCGAATATGGCCTGCACAGCTCCTCATTCATCTCGTTAGTGACTTTGTTAGTGATAGCTTGAATAACCTCGTCCTCAACAGGGCACTATTCTGATGTGAAGAGCTTGTCATAAAACACCTGGACCATTCCCTTGATCTCCCCTTGGGAGTTGCACACTGAACCATCTTCGCAGGTCAGTGAGTGAATTATGTT